GAAACTATGTTTAATGGGGAAGAGATTAGTGAATCTGCCAAGGAATATGACATTTCAATCCTCAATTCATCACCTTATTATGCTCAGCCTAATGGCCAGGCTGAGTAATAGAATTATAAAGAATAATTTGGAAAGGGTGATTGAGGAGAACCCTAGATATTGGCACAATTTATTGTCTAATGTATTGTGGGCCTATTGAAATTCCAAGAGAAACAGTACTGGTACTACACCTTATGAATTGGTATATGGCCATGATGCAATGTTGCCTTTAGAGGTGATTGTCCAATCTAGTTGAGTGGCCTTACACTATGATATTCCAATTGATGAATATACTGAGGCCATGATGGTTGAGTTACAAGATTTAGAGGAAAAAGAGTTATGGCTTATAGCTATCTTGTTGCCCAAAAAAGAAGAGTGGAGAGTCTACAATATGAGGATAAAAGTTAAGATACTTTCAGAGGGGGATTTGGTATGGAAGACTATCTTACCTATAGGCAGTAAGGATCCAAAATTTGGAAAGTGGTCCCCAAATTGGGAAAGACCATTTAAGGTTTTTAAGGTCCTTAGAGGAGGAGCCTATCACCTTGCATCCTTGGAAGGGGTCCCACATAGGAAAGTTATAAATAGTAAATATTTAAATAAATATTATCCAACCATGTAGGAAAATGTTAGACAAGCATAAAGTAAGAAGACATGCATAAAATTTTTTTCTTTTCGTTATAAAATTTAAACACAAAAAAAAGTTCTAATGTCTATTATAAAAAAGAGAAAAAATAAATACAAAAATCTCAGTCCCTTTGAAGAACAATTACAAAGCTAGCCCAAGCTGAGAGGATTGCCCTTCTTTTGGCCTTCACTTGGACATCTCTAAGGGCAGTGGGGCCATCTTTTGCCAACAACTGGTCCATTTGTTGATTAATATTCCTCTGCTCCTCCATTAAGAGAGTTTGCTAGGTATCAGCTACAGTAAGTTCTGCTTGCAACTGTTGTATTTGTGAAATATTGGAAGCCTTCTTCTCATTGATGAAGGCACTTTCTTTGCAAAGCAGCAGCACTGGCCAATGTGTGAGAAACTTGCCTTACAAAGGCCATTTGTGCATTAGCAACCTCAATCTGAACTTTAAATTATGTCATGAAAGAAAGGTATTGGAGAAGTTGACCCATGAAGTCTTGGAGGATTTGAAGCTGGTCAAGATCTAAAATTCTTGCTGCTAGTGGTAGAAAACTTTGAAAGCTGCCAGAAAGTTCTTCAACCCTGGTGAGGGCAAGATCTTCAAAAAAATGGCTAAGCAGTAGGAATAATTGGTCGACTTCTTGTTGTTTAGAAGAGGTTAGTTGGTCGAACCCTTCTTCATAGGTAGTACTGGCTATTGACAACTAAAAGGCACTGGTCTTTTTTAGCAAATATGGAGTTAAATCCATTGGAGAACTCCTGGCTTGGTCACATTAATGTAGAGATTAATGCATAATAATGGAAGTCTAGAATTAAAAATAAAAAAAATAAAATAAAAAAAGGTTACCTCAGTGGTAGTAGTAGGAAAAGAAGAGGTGCTCTTGATAAGACTTGCTTGAGAAGTCTGAATGTCAACCTCAGTGGTAGGAGTTACAATGACGGTGGTGCTAACCATGTCTATTGGAGGAGTTGATGGTTCATCCATTGTTAGGGGAATTTAAATCAGTTGTAGCGCTTGAGAAATATTAGAAGGCCCAAAAGATGATAACCTTAGTTCAGAAATAGAAGAAGGGGAGTCTGAAGAAGCTAGTAGGGGAAGTACAGAAGAAGGGATATCACCTAAAACGTTTCTAGGGTCATATGGAACTAAAAAAGGATAAGCAAAAAAAAGAAAAAAAAAGTAAATGGTACCTTCTGTGATAGGGTCACTCTCAAGGGCATGATTATAATCATAATGTTTTGGGAGTATGTGGCCAAGATGAGGCCCAAGAAAAGTTCTATCGACTAGTTCAGAAATGGCCTTACAAATGGTTACTGCATACATGATTAGGAAAACAGAAGAATAAAAGGAGATACAGCAAGAAAATAAAACAAGGAGACTTACCCTGAGGTGGCAAGGTGTGTTCTAAAGGGAGTTGGCTATCAGACACTTGATGTAACCCAGTAGGTTTTGGCTATAGGAAGCTTCTGAGGCTGTCACAACTTATAAAACACGTGAATAAAGGCTTGTTGATTACATCTCTTTCAGAATACCCGAGGATTCATTCTCAAATATCAGAATTTGCATAGGCATCGCTAGGGGTTTTATGCATGATTTGAGCAGTGTAAAGAAGGGAAATGCCTCACTGGGAGCTGTCTTGTTATCCGTTCCTTCTTAGGTGGGTATTTAAAATAGTTATTGTTGGTTACTCTATAATATGTTTACATATTTCTTTTGCTACCAATATGAATCATTATTTTTTTCCCAATCCCATTTAGTAGATTCTAAGATATCATTTTGGGGGCCATATTATGTGGAAGCTTGTTGATCTTCTTTGAGCATGCCTACTTTGTCCTAGAAGTCTGTTGCTTTTGAATTTTGTATATCTTGAATACATACGACTTGAAGGTCCTGACACTCTGTACCCAGCATGCCCCTGTATGTTAGATCTGTGCAGTGGAAAATGGTTTTTCTCTTCAGCATACCTTTTCTTTAGTCTTCACACCAACCACAAAGGAAGGGGATCAAAATTAGCTACTTTAAGAATCTAAGCAGGAGACCATTGTTATTTAGATGAAGCTTGTGTTGTCCAAAATGTAGAGAACTTGATCATTTCATAATTTATGGTGGAAAATGTATTGATTAGAAAGAAACAACACTGGATTGGCTAGAGATCAAGCTAGGCATGCCTCTCGCTTCATGGTTCCACCCATACCATTACCAAATTGATTCAAAATCACAGACAAATTATCTTGTTCTGCTTTGACTTAGATCTAAGAGAGATGATATCTGGAAAATGCAATTTTAAGACTGTACAGATCTTGTTGTCTTCAAAGTTTTTAGATTCTTCTCCTCCGGTGCATTAGAAAAGAAAAAAAAGTATTGCTTCTGAAGCTTGTGAAAAGGGACGATTACAGACCTTCAACTACTATCCTTTCGAAATTATCTGCTGATCTCTGCAACACCCAACTTAATCCAAGAATAGAGGTATTTAATACAAGAGGAGTCACCAAACAGCTAATGAGATATTGTACATGCAACGTGTCTATAATTATCTATGTTCTAGTAATCGATGGATGGCCACTGGCAAGCAAATCCACCCGGATGTGTCAGAATGCTCATTATCCTCGATTTGAAATATGTTTGGCAGTTACTGAATTTAGTACAATATTTGACCCAACAGGTTTTTAAGGTCCTTAGAGGAGGAGCCTATCACCTTGCATCCTTGGAAGGGGTCCCACATAGGAAAGTTATAAATAGTAAATATTTAAATAAATATTATCCAACCATGTAGGAAAATGTTAGACAAGCATAAAGTAAGAAGATATGCATAAAAAAATTTTCTTTTCGTTATAAAATTTAAACATAAAAAAAGTTCTAATGTCTATTCTAAAAAAGAGAAAATAAATACAAAAATCTCAGTCCCTTTGAAGAACAATTACAAAGCTAGCCCAAGCTGAGAGGATTGCCCTTCTTTTGGCCTTCACTTGGACATCTCTAAGGGCAGTGGGGCCATCTTTTGCCAACAACTGGTCCATTTGTTGATTAATATTACTCTGCTCCTTCATTAAGAGAGTTTGCTAGGTATCAGCTACAGTAAGTTCTACTTGCAACTGTTGTATTTGTGCAATATTGGAAGCCTTCTTCTCATTGATGAAGGCACTTTCTTTGCAAAGCAGCAGCACTGGCCAATGTGTGAGAAACTTGCCTTACAAAGGCCATTTGTGCATTAGCAGCCTCAATCTGAACTTTAAATTATGTCATGAAAGAAAGGTATTGGAGAAGTTGACCCATGAAGTCTTGGAGGATTTGAAGCTGGTCAAGATCTAAAATTCTTGCTGCTAGTGGTAGAAAACTTTGAAAGCTGCCAGAAAGTTTTCAACCCTGGTGAGGGCAAGATCTTCAAAAAACTGACTAAGCAGTAGGAATAATTGGTCGATTTCTTGTTGTTTAGAAGAGGTTAGTTGGTCGAACCCTTCTTCATAGGTAGTACTGGCTATTGACAACTAAAAGGCACTGGTCTTTTTTAGCAAATATGGAGTTAAGTCCATTGGAGAACTCCTGGCTTGGTCACATTAATGTAGAGATTAATGCATAATAATGGAAGTCTAGAATTAAAAATAAAAAAAATAAAATAAAAAAAGGTTACCTCAGTGGTAGTAGCAGGAAAAGAAGAGGTGCTCTTGATAAGACTTGCTTGAGAAGTCTGAATGTCAACCTCAGTGGTAGGAGTTACAATGACGGTGGTGCTAACCATGCCTATTGGAGGAGTTGATGGTTCATCCATTGTTAGGGGAATATAAATCAGTTGTAGCGCTTGAGAAATATTAGAAGGCCCAAAAGATGAAGAAGCTAGTAGGGGAAGTACAGAAGAAGGGATACCACCTAAAAAGTTTCTAGGGTCATATGGAACTGAAAAAGGATAAGCAAAAAAAAGAAAAAAAAAAAGTAAATGGTACCTTCTGTGATAGGGTCACTCTCAAGGGCATGATTATGATAAGAATGTTTTGGGAGTATGTGGCCAAGATGAGGCCCAAGAAAAGTTCTATCGACTAGTTCAGAAATGGCCTTACAAATGGTTACTGCATACATGATTAGGAAAACAGAAGAATAAAAGGAGATACAGCAAGAAAATAAAACAAGGAGACTTACCCTGAGGTGGCAAGGTGTGTTCTAAAGGGAGTTGGCTATCAGACACTTGATGTAACCCAGTAGGTTTTGGGTCGATCAAGGGGTTTGTTTCCTCAGCTCCAAGACTTTGCCTCTCGCTTCATGGTTCCACCCATACCATTACCAAATTGATTCAAAATCAGAGACAAATTATCTTGTTCTGCTTTGACTTAGATCTAAGAGAGACGATATCTGGAAAATGCAATTTTAAGACTGTACAGATCTTGTTGTCTTCAAAGTTTTTAGATTCTTCTCCTCAGGTACATTAGAAAAGAAAAAAAGTATTGCCTCTGAAGCTTGTGAAAAGGGACGATTACAGACCTTCAACTACTATCCTTTCGAAATTATCTGCTGATCTCTGCAACACCCAACTTAATCCAAGAATAGAGGCATTTAATACAAGAGGAGTCACCAAACAGCTAATGAGATATTGTACATGCAACGTGTCTATAATTATCTATGTACTAGTAATCGATGGATGGCCACTGGCAAGCAAATCCACTCGGAGGTGTCAGAATGCTCATTATCCTCGATTTGAAATATGTTTGGCAGTTACTGAATTTAGTACAATATTTGACCCAACAATATTTGACCCAACTATAGGGTATATAAGGTTATATATATGCTCTCTTTCCTTTTCTTTTTTCTTCTCCCTCAAGGAATTCAACTTGTTTGCATCAATGCTTTCATTTTTCTTTTATGTTAACCATGTTGATTATTTCTTCTTTCTTTTTTTTTTTTCTTTTTTTCCCAGAGACTTGCTGTTGTGCCAATCTAGGATAGCAATCGTAGACAAATTTCGGGGATGCTGACTGCTTCTGATTTCATTTTGATATTGATGGAGGTATTAATGCATGTTCTTATCTGCTAGCCAGAATTAGGTGCTTATTCTAGCATAAACCTGTAAGTTGCAGACAGCTTTTACACTGCACATTCTTTCTGTGGGCTCCCATCTTTCTTGATGGTGCATGCATTTGGTTAGCTGGTCAATAGTTCAATTTTGACAATTTGACTTCTACAATCAGTTACTAGCAACTCATTTTCCCAGGGACTTGTTGTTGTGCCAATCTGGGATAGCAATCGCAGACAAATTTTGGGGATGCTGACTGCTTCTGATTTCATTTTGATATTGATGGAGGTATTAATGCATGTTCTTATCTGCTAGCCAGAATTAGGTGCTTATTCTAGCATAAACCTGTAAGTTGCAGACAGCTTTTACACTGCACATTCTTTCTGTGGGCTCCCATCTTTCTTGATGGTGCATGCATTTGGTTAGCTGGTCAATAGTTCAATTTTGACAATTTGACTTCTACAATCAGTTACTAGCAACTCATTGCTTATCTTTTGGAGATATGACTTGATTATTATGTTGTTGTTTGCATCCCTTGTAATTCAATGTATGTCATGCTCTCTTATTGAGATGTTTGTTTTTTGGATAATCAATTTATGTTTGCTTGTTAATTTCTGCAGCTTCATAGAAATCGTGCAACACTGACTGATGAACAGCTGGAAGTGCATACAATATCTGCCTGGAAAGAAGGGAAATCCCAACAATATGGAGAAGCGTTTAGGCCTGCACAGCTGATGTTTGGTAGGCCTTTAATATGGGTGAGTGCTCTTGCCCACATAGAATATTCAGGGGATTTGGGCCTTTTTGCGTTTATTCATGTTCCCATCATCTAATCCCCCCTCCCCCCATCTTTTTGCAAAACACACACATGAAACTTGGTAAAGGAAACTTGAATTTCTTGGTGGTAGATTTCTTAATAAATGTTTCAGTTTTTCATTTTTTCAATTGATGAGATATATGGTTATATTCTCATATGGTAGCATTTTATAGCTTTAATATTGTAGTTCTTTGCCCTTTTACTGTAACCCATAGGCTGGTCCCGATGAGTCTCTAAAAGATGTGGCTCTGATGATTTTGCAAAATAAGATATCAACTGTTCCCATTATATACTCAACAATAGAGGAATCTTGCCCACTGTTGTTACACATAGCATGCCTCGGTGGAATACTAAAATGTGGGCGGCTTTGTCAAGTTATTTAAAGATCCATTCTCTAGTAATATTGTGTATGTTGTTAATAGCTTACCTTCTCTTCTCTCTTTTTCTCGTAAAATTTAGATATATGCAGGCACTTTAAAAACCATCTTGATTGTCTACCTATTCTACGACAACCGGTCGGTAGCCTCCCTTTAGGTAAATGGAAAAGTGAAGTTGGAGAAGCACATGGTCATTTGTTAGCATTACGTCCCAATGAAACTCTTAGTTATGCTCTTAATATATTGATAGAAGGTGCGCATCAACTTTTCTAATATTTTAGCCTAAAGTTTTACTTTTATGTATACCTGACTTGCACCCCACACACGAACAATTTCTATAATAAAAAATGTGCCTACATGCTCTCTCTCTCTCTTAGTGTGACATTGCAGTATAATCGATTTCTGTTATTGAACGAACACATTTTGCATGCTCTCTCTCTCTCTCTCTCTCTCTCTCTCTCTCTCTTAGTGTGACATTGCAGTATAATCGATTTTTGTTATTGAACGAACACATTTTTTCACTCAATTTATTTTTTTTACATGAAATTGTTGGTTCTGCAAAATGTTCCTTTTAGGCCGCTACTTTATGCATTGCCATATTTTAAAAACATTTAATGATCCAATATCATCATTCTTCAGTTGAATTGGTGTTACCATCTATTAGTTTGATTGCTAATTAGTCAAACATTATATCTAGATGGGTTGTAAAAGCCAAACTTTGATTTTTATGTTTTTGTCTGTTTTTTTATTCTACAAATCTCTTATCTGAAATTTTTAGTTAAGTTGTTGCTTGGGCGAGTAATTTATCTAAATTTTGGTCAACTATGTGGGGTGCATATACAGTTTTATATTACCGATTTCACCCATCTTCCTTTTCTATTTTCCAGCTCAAATAAGTTCAATTCCAATTGTCGATGGTAAAGGCTCCCTTATAAATGTATATTCCATAAGGTAATTTCTTGGTTTTAGGCCATTTTAAAATTTTCATGTTTGTCTCCAATACATATTCAGTTTTACATCATTTTAAAGTTGGTTTCAACTTAATTTTTTATATTTAGTGATATCACCTCTTTGGCAAAAGATAGTCTGTATACTCGTATTCAGCTTTGGATAACGAAATTATTCCTTCACGGGTTTGTCCACCTTGTTTTTTATTTCTAAGTTGGGATCATCGTAATAAATTTGAGATTCTTCAATTATTCAATTATAAGATAATTCTATATCGCAAGTAGTTGTGAAAAGTTTGAGAAATCTTTTTAATAACAATGCAAGGTATGCTTAGAAATTTTAAAAACATGAGTTCTCCTTCCATAAATATTCTGAATATTTCAAGAAACTCGGAAAAATACAGGAATTATTTGTATTATTCAGGTTATTTGGGAAAAAATACCAGTTAATGGAATATACAGGAGTGTTCCAGGATTCACTTGTTTGAGAGATTCTAAAAAGACTAGAGAATTTTGTTATCATGGTTGGGATTAGGGTTATGAGATAGGATTCTCAACTATTGGTTTAACACAATTCATTGCTTTAGCAGTTTAGTTGGGATGCTGATGTAGGACAGCTTGTTGGATTTTCGTAATAGAGGTTATTTGATGGCCTAAACAGTGAGTAATTTAGGATTTTAATGGTTAAATTAGAGGCTTATAAGTAGGAGAAGGGATTAGGGTTGACTTGGGGGTGATTGAATAGGGCTTTGGGGCTGTAGCATGTTTATAAATGGTTTGACTAACCAAACACTAAATCAGATTTGTAATTACCAGATGGTCATTCTTGTCACGTGGTCAGAGCTTTTATGTTCCTTCCAACATTTCTTGCTTCTGTTAGAAGTTACAAAAAATAGAGTATTTCTTTTAGTTTTTGGCATGTATTCTACATTGATTTTTGGTTTATGGAAATAGGAGGGCAGGTGAAGTTTACACCAACAATTATCTAATTTTCTTTATTTAACTGCTGCAGCACTTCACAATAAATACATTTACCCTGATATTTCATGTCTGCCCTATTTGTATTTGAAATATGTGTTTTTTTCTTCTTCTTCTTTCCCTTTTGTTTTTGATTTATTTTCTTGGACAGAGAACTCTGTCCTCTTTGGAGTTGCCTAGGGCTGTTGTTGGTAACGGGCTATCCTCATCAGCCTCAGCTGATGAGTGCACCTCAATTGATAATTCAGAGAGGACTGATGGAAGTGCCTTTGATGGAAGTGGCAGTCATATACAAAACAATGGGAGGCGGATGCAAAAGGTTCAGGATCCTGCTCGAGATCTTTCAATGCAAGTATTGGAGAAATTCTCTTGGGTGACTAGATTTGCTCGAGAAACTACTTCCCAGATTTTCCGAGAAAGTCATAGTGATAGTTTTGGCACTAATGAGAGGAGGACAGAATAAATTTTTGGTGTGGTATAGATTTCCTTTTGATATTAAATTTAGTTAATCCTCTATTATGTATGGAATTAAATTATTGGGGTTGAATTATACTTGGTTCGTATGGAATTTGTATTACATTTAGAATTGGACGCTGAATATAAATTTTTTGGATGGTTGGAAGTGAAATGTGTGCACGTTGTTGAATGGTTGATAATATATTCAGTATTGATGGATTATATTGTTTATACAGGGTATAAGTTGCACTAATAATGGATACAAGTGGTTCAGTATTGATGGATTATATTGTTTATACAGGGTATAAAACATACATAAATTGTTATAGTTTGTTAATTTTTGAAAGGGTAATATGTTATAATCTATTGTTAATTTTTCAATAATCTATTGTAATGAAACATACAAGAGCTTGCATCATTGAAAGGGTGACTGGTATAATTTGTTATTGAAAGGGTAAGTGATAATGAAATAGGTTATTCTTTTATTCTATTATTCTATTAAACAGGTTATTCTATTGTAATGAAACAGGTTATTCTATTAATCTATTAAATCATTGATTTCATATGGTATTTTTGAATGAGCAGAAATGGAGATTGGTTCGAACAGTGGTGACTTCTTTTTGAATGAGCAGAAATGGAGATTGGTTTGAATCAAATTTATGGAGTGCAACCGTGTGAAAAAATCTGTCTTCAAAGCTCTGTTCAAAAACCTGTGTGAAAAAATCTGTCTTCAAATCTGTCTGCAAAAACCTCTGATAAAATCTGTCTTCAAAACTGTGTTCAAAACCTGTGCAAAAAAAATCAGTCTTCAAAAACCTGTGTCAAAACACCTGTTGCAAAAAACTGTGTTAAAAAACCTGTCAAAAAATCTATCTTCAAAACTGTGTTGAAAAAATCTGTCATCAAATCTGTCTGCAAAAACCTGTGTCATAAAATCTGTCTTCAAAATTGTGCTAAAAAACCTATGAAAAAAAATGTCTTCAAAAACCTGTGTGAAAAAATCTGTCTTTAAAATTGTGTTAAAAAAATCAGTCTTCAAATATGTCTCTAAAAACCTATGTAAAAAAATCTGTCCTCAAAACTGTGCTAAAAAACCTGAGTGAAAAAATCTGTCATCAAAAACCTGTGTGAAAAAATCTGTCTTGAACAAGCTATGTTCAAAATATCTCTTCAAAATCTGTGTTAAAAAACTAGTGTTCAAATTCTGTGTTTAAAATATCTGTGCAGAAAACCAGTGCAATCATTCTTCAAACAAAAAACCTATGCAATCATTCTTCAAACAAACACATATAACAACCTGTGTCAAAATATTCTTCAAACAAACAAGCATTCGTTAAACATGTAACAACCTGTGTTGAAACATTCCTCAAACAAACAAACATATAACAACCCGTGTTCAAGCATTCCTCCAACAAACAAACATAATTTTAACAACCTGTGTTCTGTCTTCAAAACTGTGCTAAAAAACCTGTGTGAAAAAATCTATCTTCAAAAACCTGTGTGAAAAAATCTGTCTTGAACAAGCTATGTTCAAAATATCTCTTCAAAATCTGTGTTGAAAAACTAGTGTTCAAATTCTGTGTTTAAAATATCTGTGCAGAAAACTGTGTCAGAAAACCAGTGCAATCATTCTTCAAACAAAAAACCTATGCAATCATTCTTCAAACAAACACATATAACAACCTGTGTCAAAATATTCTTCAAACAAACAAGCATTCGTTAAACATGTAACAACCTGTGTTGAAACATTCCTCAAACAAACAAACATATAACAACCCGTGTTCAAGCATTCCTCAAACAAACAAACAAACATAATTTTAACAACCTGTGTTCAAACATTCTTCAAGCAAACAAACAAACAGATAACAGATTACATGTTTATACTCCTCCAAAATAACTGTCATATATCATAAATTTTCATACATATCATCTATTTCAACTTGTAACTGTTATTTAAATTATTACATATTCGTAACTATACAACAATAATTACAAGGAAGAAAAAGATCTCATAAATGCAACACCAACTTCGACTTAAGTCTGTCTGAAATTTTTGCATCTGCGTGCTTTGAATTTGAAGTTGTTCGCTTTGAAATTGCAAGTGTTCACCCATACTTCGAAGTTGTTTGGTGACGGTTGGTATGTTGTCCATTTACACTTTGTTCTTCAAATGATCTGAGGTACTACCGCTAGCATTTGAAGTTGACATCTACAAAAATATGAAGCCAAATCTCAATCAGTTAATGTATTAGTCTGAGAACTGTTTAAAAAGTAGGAAAGGTTTGAATTAAATGGAAGCAAACAAGAGCTATACTTTGGTATTATACCATCCCAACATGAACAACAAATGGTTTATGATATTATACCAACATCAACAAAAGCAAAATAACTCAGTTGAAATAGCAGAATATTGAACATCTGATATTATACCATCATGATAACTAGCAGCCTGACTAATGAAGTTTGAACAAGCATACCCAGTCTGAAAAGCAGGGCCATATAATTCTATCAAAAAAAAAAAAAAAACAGTATACAACTCTAGTCCAGGAAAAGGCACCTACAGCATGGGGACACTCAATTGTCTAAGGTTTCACCATGGTGAAGTTCTTTCTGTATCTAATATACATACAGGCACGTAGACTTTTGTTTACAAATATCTAAGCAATTACTGAGCTCTAATAAATAAATTAGTAGAACTACCAGCTTGGAATTGGAACAATACTAAGAGAAGGAAATATATGAAATGGACTCTAAGGTCAATTCTCATGGGAGGCCAAAGATTGTCTACGGAAAGAGTTAATGTAGCTGATCTTGTGATATTAATCAGTAATTTTAGTGTTCCAACAGGGTTAAGAGTGGCAGAAGCTGCCATTTCAAATCAACAAGCATGATATTTTTCTGACTCTGTGCCTGTATAAGTTGAACCTCCATTCTTTGTTGTTCCTGATCACTCTTCATTAATTTAAATTTAGGGACGATGTTGATTTGAATTGTAGGCAGAATTTATTCCCAAGTGCAGAGCCGTGGTTTTTCCTATGGTGAAACATCCATTTGTGGTGGTTTTTTGGTTGCTGAACTTCCTAAGATGGAATTTGAAAGGGAAGAGCATGATATAAAACACTGCCCTTTGCCTGAGGAATCTTATGCTTTGCCTCCATATATGGATATGAAATCATGGGAAGTTCAAGCATTCAAGGATAACCAATTGGAAATGTACAGGTTCACTGCTGAGCAGAGATTAAATGCCATAAACATTTCTCGGTCTCTTGCAATGGCATATGTTATGGATCAGCTGGATTACAATTTCTTTTTCAGCACTTCTATGTTATGGATCAGGTGGGCTCAGGAGTTCAAAAAAGTAACATTTTGTTTCCATCTTTAATGAAGTAGCTTATATAACCTAACTACAGTTTGATCCGAAACTGATTTTCATTTGTACTATTAATAATGCTTAGACTGGACCTCAACCTCAACAACAAGAAGAAGGTTTTCATAATGTTCATACCCTTTTCAGTATATATCAACAACAACAACAACATATTATTACTATTATTTTATTTTATTTTATTTTTTGCTTCAAAAGAAAATTAAATAGAATCCCTAAATCAATCTCTAAGTCATATATACACACAAACCCTAAATCGATTTCTAAATTACATATAAGTTATACTGTTATATATACAAAACCTAATTAATTTCTATATTACAAATCCTAAATCAAACCTCTAAGTTATACTGTTATATATACATGCCCTAACCCTAAATCAATTTGTAAGTTATATACCTGTAGATTGGAGTCGCTGATCAAACAGAGAGTCGAGAGAAGAGAGAAGACAGACTGACAGAGAGTCCACAGAAGACAGAAACTCCTCGCTGTGCGAGTAGATCATTTGCGGGGTTAGAGTGGAACTACGCTCCGTCGAGGAGTGAGAAGTCGAAGACAGCGAGAAACGAGAGAATCGAGGGAGACAGAGACGCAGTCGGTCGCCTTTGGGATTGAGGGACAGAGTCGATCGTCCAGCGAGGGTTGGAGTAGAGCCGTGCTCCGTCGGGGAAGATCGCAAATACAGAGAGAGATAAGAGTAGGTTTTGAATATAGAGAGAGAAATTTGGGACTACAGCATTGTTTAAATGAACTTTGTTTTGAGAAAGAGGATATATGAACTTTATTAACATTGTTTAAATGAGAACTTTATTTAGATTCTGGAAGTAAAAGAAGGAATAAATGACCAAACCTTTGAGCCTTGAACCCTTTCATAACTTCAAGAAACTCATCATATTTAGCCCTTTTATCTTGAAATATGTCCTTAACTGCCTTGAGATATGCCAATGCATCATTGGTAGTTAGTTTCTGTGTGCTCGCTCCACCCATCATCTGGGATTGCCCAGAGCTTCATTACCCACACCAAATAAAAAATAAAAAAAAATCAATATACTAATTTAATCAGGTGAGAGCTTTCATTAAACATTAAACTTAGGTCAAAGTATATTCTTTCAACAAAGATGGTCTTAATTCCTATTTTTAGCTTCAACCCTAGATATATAATCAAACTTCAGACATATTTTATAAAGAAAAATTCAACAAAAATCAGATCTTTGTTCTCCTTGAAGGAACAACATACTGAGTAAAAGAATGAAAAACAAAAATACTGAAGTTTAAAATCCGAAGCCAAACAAAATACCTCATCAGTAAATAACTAACAGACTCGCACTCAACAATTTCAAACATGATTCACCAAATTTTCAGAAATTTTACTTGCTTATAATTTCTTATTAAATAAAGAAGCACTCATAATTACAGCTTACAATATCACAATATTAGAAAAATGAGAGTTAAAAAAAAACAAACTAAGAGAGAGATAGAGAAAGGACTCACGGTTCGGCGCGAGAGGAGACGATGGGGCGTTTGAGTTGAGAAGCCATGTACATATCATCTCTAGCCCTCTTCATCTTTGTAATCAAAACTCTCAATCTTCAAAAAAAACTCTGATGGAATGCCACATATTGAATAATCGAAGTGCTTAAGTATAACATTATTGTTGATTAAAATATTACAGGGTACCACAAATCATATTATTGGCATCATATCTATAATTTTTCATAGTCAAATTACAGCAATTGATAATGACCTGGTACGACCATTGGTTGCAATGAGGATATTTTGCTGCTCGGAAAATAAATTATACCCTTCTTGGCATGTAGTAAGTTGGAAGGAAAAAGAGAAAAAGAAAACTAAGAAATAGTTTCAAAATCTGATAAAACTCATCCCAAACCTAGATGAAAACGACAGGGGAAAATGGAAATTTACAACCAGTAAAAAGGTCCAACTAAATGTTCAGGCCCAATTTAATATAGGACCTGAATAAAGAAAAATAATTGAAATGTTAGCATGCAATTCAACATCATCTTAGTCCTATATATATATATATAAATGCATAAAATACATCCATAAAATACACACAAATCTATATATATATATCAGTTCATCAAAGCCCACACAAATGCATATATAGTCAAGATTTTGAAGAACCTCACCAATTTGCTATGTATGAGTGATGTGAAATTTTATAAAAGTGTTCCTAACTATTTTCTAATTATATTTTTGGTAATAACAGCCGCATGCATCCACATACATTCACTTCAACTTGCCTCATTCAAAAATTTAAAATTACACATCACAAACAAGAAGAAACGAAATTTAGCATATATTCTAAAAGAAACTATTTAACATTGATTTTTTTTTTAATTTTGTTAAAGAATATATTGTATAAATTGATAAAATGTTTAACTATTGTTTTTTTTTTTTAAATTGTATTAAAGACTCCTATATATAAATCCACAACAATTGACAAATTAATGTTTATAAATTATAAATCCAGAATGGTACACCAAAAGTTAGTGGTATGCCCATGATAACTAACTGATACACAGCTACTTCACCTAAAATTCCGATCGAATATGAGAAACTTAACCTTCTAGGTTGGAGAAAATTCGGAAGAGACATACAAAAAAAAAATGTAGCTCAGATTTTGACCTACATAACTCTAGGAACATCTTTTGATTCCAGATGATAACCAACAAAAATGTAAACTTGAAAGAAGCTTTGCATGCCGTCAACATCAAGAACATCAATGCATTAATGAAAAGGAGGTGCAGTAATGCCCAAACGAAGACATCCAAAATTCTTGTTAGAAATCTAATCCATGTAAGAAGATTTTCAGCATAAATTTCAACTAGAAACAAAGTAAAGCATGCACCCACCAAGGATGCTGCACAGGAAATTGTCCTTTCTCCTTGTTCCGTGAAGAAAAGCCTCATTATTAGCCACTGAGAAGCATAGACACACGACACGACACGACATGGCAATGATAGGGAAAATGACCCTAAGCCTTCAGTGGCACACACTGTTGAGCATGCAGTTCAATGCATCCTATCAATGGAATTTTATCATATGTTATATATGAATATTTCATTCAGAGATTTAACATCACTTCTTAAAATCTAAAGGAGTAAGGATTAATATGTATAAATCTCTCTTGTTTTTCTTTATCATTAAATCGCAAGTTACTTTCATCAAACTTGTAAGGTGTTTCATAGTGATGGATGAGTGTGTTCCCCAAGTGTCCAAAACGTGTCCAACTATCTGTATCTAAAAAAATTTAAATAATAATAATAATATAACATGTTTGGACACGTGTCCAACATGTATTCAACACAGGCACAACACTTTTTTAGATGATTTGTGCTTCTTAGATCACCCAAAACAGTAAAGTAAATAGAAGGGAAAGGTGGAGATTTTGTTTGCTTCATCATTAAGCCACCTATCAAGCTGTCAAAGAAAAAGATATAAATTTTGCACCCAAAAAAAAAAAACACTTTTCAGATCATTTACTAATTACAGGAAACATATTGCAAATGCAAGTAAAGCACTATGTTTCATAACGGGCTTTGTGAAGTTCGAAAAAGGGTCAGGAATCACCCTTCAAAAGCATACCCAGCGGTTAACAGCAAATTTATGTATTGCAAAAGAAAATTGTTTAGTTTGATATTGAATCCTATTTTGTGAATAACAATATCTTCCACTTTAGTTGTGTTTCTCATGGCATAATCCTTTCTTTTCTTTTACTTCTTAACTTCCAAGTCCCTAGCTAGTAGCTACTATACGTCAGTTATAAAGTTTAATCAAAAGAATTCTAAAGAGTGTTTTTTATGCTTCCTTACTTCCTGCATGATTCTTCTTATTATGCTCACCTTGTGAAGACAAATGCTGGCCCAAGTTTAACTCCCTTTGATGCAGTAAATTTGAATCGTTTGAAGATCAACCACCTGGATAGAATGGGAATTCCTTGTTCTATTTGCAGACTAAACTGCATATAAAACAAATTTGAAGTAAAAAATATAGCACTTTTAAGTTTTTGAATCACATTGGCAATAACAATATTTAGTTTTAGTTTGGTAATTAAAGATATATTACTTGACTGAAACTACAATCATTTGCCTTTGTAAATTGAGACTCCTGCTTCAGTACTACCATATTGTCCTCATAACTGCCACTGTACAACAGGTAATTCACAGAGAAGTTTCAATCAGTTTGTCAGTTAACTATGAATTTGTGGGTGAATGTAAAGCATATAACTTTCAATTGTTTGAGGTTTATGTGTCATGCATATATATTGACAACTACAAGTACTTGAAGAAATTGTTCATACACGAATGAAGAAATTGAAATTAATATCTGAATGGCTAGCAGATGGGAACGATTACGACCAAATGATGTTAACAAACTGTTCCATTTTGAACTCAAAATTATATAGATAATGAAAATTACAAAAGGAATAGAGGAGGAGCGAAAAGGGGGCCTCATAATTACTGGGGTGGAAATGTTAGGGATATCATTATCTAATATCAGCTATGTGCATCCAATTCAATTCAAGTTAAATTCGATAATATGTTCCAAAAGCCTCTCTTGCCTTTAACCAAAACCCAAGTTTTTTTTTTTCTCTTTTTGTGTTTTCTATGATTATTATTATTTATTACTTTTCTATAGTTTTTAAATTCCATGCAAAGGACTTTTTTTTTTTCTTTTCGTATTCATATTGCAAAAGCTTGGAGCATTCTTTGTATCACATAATTAGTATGAAATCCATTCTTTGTATCACATAATTAGTATGAAATCCTGTAGGCCTCAAAAACTAGAGAAAAAAGGCAAGTTGGGTTCCATGTGAGCAGACCTCATAGGCATGTTGTTTCCAACAAAACAATCACCTTACCAAATAAAATTATAATAATTTTAACAACAATTAAAATGAACAATTTTTTTTTTAGGAAGGTAGGTCGGCAGATAATGTGGCCTGTAGTATATGCTTCTCAAATTCATTGTACTACGCTGAAAATTATTATGCTGCTGCATATGGAGAGGTCATAGTATCTTCGACTATTCTCAAATATTATTGTGCTGCTGCACATGGTGGTCCACTAAGAAATGCAAAACAAACGTGTAAAGATGTTCTTTTTCCCCTAATTTGCTCACAAATCTATGGAACACGCCAAAAGATTTTATCAACAAAACAATTTGCAGAGTCTTAAAAACTAGTGTTGGACTCATGCAATGCATTGGATAATTAATTTTAAGCAGGCATTTCTTGCTAAATATATATTATAATACATTTAAGACAAACACATAAAGTGCACAGTTAAGACTAGTACCAGTAACCCAAGAAACCCACATTGAGGACGACTATATCATACTTACATTTGAGCAGAAATGGAGAGAAAATTTAGGGCAAAGATGAACTGTCCATCTTCTAATTTCGTTCTGACGCGTTAATGCGCCTCGCCACCTGGTCTTTCTCATCACAATCAGCCCGTTTGAGATCGCCGTTCTGACGAGGCCGACGATAGTCCTTTGTAGACAAAGGTTCTAAAACAGTTGAGGGGAGTGTAGGGTCTGGATTTGAACATATGGCTTGTGGAGGGATTGGAGAAGATCGAAGGTAGGGTTAGGGTTTTGGATCCGACGACGAGAGTGGAGAAGACGATGTAGACGACCGGCGAAGAGAATAGGAGAAGAGAGAGAGGGCGGTGAGGGAGGAGGTGTCGCGGCGGCGGCGGTGGTCGCCGGTGGCGGTACCAGAGGCGACGACGTAGGAGGCGGAAGAGATAAAAAAGAGAGGAGAGTGAGAGGGAGTGTTAGGTTAGGTAATGGGGATTTGAGATGGTGACAAACGGGGGGAATTCATGCGCGGGAAAAAAGAATAAATAAATTTTCTTTGTTTTTTTTGTTTTCTTTTTTTTTGTAGTTAATGATTTTTATTTTTATTTTTTTTTAGGTTACTAAAGTTAAAAATTTATTTGTTTCATTTTATTTTATTGAAAAAAAATTATTCTTTTTTTATTTGGTAAAATAGGGGTAAAAGTATAAATCTAGATACATTTAAAAGTATAAAATTTAGATACATTTAAAAGTATAAATCTCATTAAAAAAATAAAATTACACCAAATATAAAAAAAGAAAACATTTATTTTTTTATTTTTTGTATTCATAGATATTTTTCCCTCTCTAACTTTTAGTAATGGAAGAGGTCCACAATAAATTTTTTTTTTTTAGTCTAAGGTCCCTCACTCACACCCATATATATAACACATTCTCTCATTCTCTCTCCTTAACTTTTAGTAATGGGAGAGGTTCACAATAATTTTTTTTTTTGGTAGTCTAAGGTCCCTCACTCACACCCATATATATAACACATTCTCTCTCCTTTCTTTTCTTGCACCAAACAACTCCTCTCTCTTTGCTCTTCATTCACAACATTGTTAAGAGCTTCATTAGCATTGACTACGATGGAGGAATTTGCATAAACAACATTTATAAAGCTTTGCAAATGAAGATCATCGATTTATATGAAGATTCCTGATAGTGCTTTATACAGCAAGATTTACATGAAGTAGAGCACTAGTCCTCATTGTTATTCCTCCGATCACTAGTCCTCCAATGAAGATTCCTCCGTCGACAAATATGAATTCGTTTAATAACTTGCTACTGTGGATCTTCGACGAGGCTGCATCTGAAGGGTTCAACTAATTTTTTTCGATGTTTAGAGACATGCGAGATCAAGATGCCCAATAAAATTTCTCTATGATGTGTCCAGAGAAATTTGTGATGTGTAAACAGAAGTTGTGGTAGTGGTAGAGGAGATGGAATAGCGATGGTGGAGGAGAGGTAATGGTAGTAGTAGTGGCAGTAGTGGTGGTGGTAGTGGAGTGGTGCTGATGGTGGTAGTAATGATAGTCGTAGAGATGGAGTGGCAACAGTGGTAGTAGTGGTGGTAGTGGAATAACATTTGCAGTAGTGGTGAAGGTGGTAGACGAGATGTATGGTGAGAGAGAGATGAGTGAAAGATAGATAGAGAAGATAAACAGAGACAGAAACAGAGACAGAGTGATAAGCGAGAGAGACAAAGTGGTCGCTAAAAGTGCATTTTCTTGTATTGGATCGATAAGTCCAGAGGGAGCTTGGTAAAAACCTTAAAGAATGGAGGAAGAAAGTGAGCAAGGCGAACAAACGAACATATATTTGCAATTGATCAAACAAACATAAATATGAAGTACCAACACAAAATACTCTTCGAAATGTATGAGGGCTTAGAGGCAAAACTTGGAGAGTCCTAAATTTTGAGAGGGAATTTCAAATTAAAGTAGAATTTTGGTAATTACACACATTATAGGATTAATTAGACAATAAATTAATTAAGAAAATTAAATTATCATTAGCTAATGTTAATCATATTATTTAATTTTGATGATGTCTAAAATATATTAGTTAATATACATGTTATCTCATAAGTTTTCCATTTACTCGCTACTTCATCTTTACCTTTAAGTTTGTATTTTTTATTTCTTTAGTAGAAATTTCACTTTTTCAATAATTTCACCTAAATAATAAGGTTAAATTTCACTATTTAAAGATAATGAAATTTCACTACTTAAAATGATGGTATGTTTTATGATAACGATGACAAGGATTAAAAAGGTGGTGGTAATAACAACGGTGGCTTAATGGCTACAACTAAATTTGAAGAATCAGGAAAGGAAGACCTACCACATACCTTGGAGCATTGCGTTCTTATACACTGTTTGGGCAATCTAGAAAGATAGAAACAATGTGGTCTTCAGACAAGATGATGGAAATGTCCATGAAATTATTAGATCCATTCAACACCAAGCCACAGAGACATATGAGGCATTCCAAACTGATCACTTTACAGGCCAACCTCTAAAATCACATAAGTAATTGGGTTTTGCCTTTTGCAGGGGAAATTAAACTCAACACTGACGGTTGTTCAAAAGGCAATCCGGGCCCAGCTGGATATGGAGGCCTTTTCAGGGATGAAAGAGGAGCTTGTCTTCATGGATATCATGGAAAATTGGAGAAAGCAACTAGCATGCAGGCTAAGCTTTGGGCAGTTTACCGAGGCCTCACCACAATGCTTCAGAAGGGAATGAAGGACATATGCATTGAGACAGAATCAGAACAAGTTGTTAAACTCATCAAGGATTCACCATCTCAGCACTTTCAGTATAGGGCTCTGCTTGAAGATGCTAAGTTTCTAATGCAAAGATACAACTGCACAATAGCTCATATACGTAGAGAGGGAAACAAGAGTGCGGATGGTTTGGCAAATATGGGTGTAAATCACCAAGTCCCTTTTGTGTTTCTTAATGATCCCCCCACTGAGATTGCAAATATGCTTGTTGCAGACATCATTGGGGCTTCTTCTTCTCCTTCTACTATGTAAGGCAGCTTTGCCTATTTCTCTATTTTGTCTGTTATCTCATTTTCTTATGAATCAAAATAAATAAATAAATAAAAATAACAATGGTGGCTTCATAATGGTGGCGGTGGTGGTGCTAACAGTGACAGTGACGGTGATGATGGTTGCAGCAACATTAGTGATGATTGTAGCAATTGTGAGGTTATAATGATGTATGTTGATGCTTGTGTATAAATATTTACAAATTCAATTAGCATTAAATAATTATGTAATTTTATGTGAGAAATTCATCATAATTTAAATGACTTTTATCCTACAAACTCAATTATAATTGGATTCAAATGGATTGGACAAAGGGTACCGCCTCTTACGCCAACACCACAAAATTATGATAATAAATTTTAAATAATATATACTTTGCAAAAAAATATAAAAATTATCATTTAGAATTTTCTTGACACTATGAATTATCTTCAAACTAGTTACGCGCTATAAGAAATTGCACATTTGAAAACTAAATTTTTAATTGTTAAAAATCATTTTTAGTCGACGAATGTAATTCCCAATTAAATTATCACCCAATTGGTCATTGACTAATTGTCGGGAAAAGTATTGGTGACTAAAATTATTTTAGTAGCCAAAGAATACCATTCGTCGACTAATAATTTAGTCGCCATAATTTTGTTTATAAATTTAATTTGAACTTTAATCGACTAAATTGTTAGTCGTAGATAAATTTTATCACTACTATGTTTTATTTAGTGATTAAAATATAATCGTCAATTCTTTTTTCCATTATCAACGACAAATTAATTTTGTAGCCAAACATCTAATTGACTCCTTTAGCTAGCAACCAAACTTTTTTGTAGGCAAAAGATTGTAGTTTTTTTGGTGACTAAATGTTTAGTCGTAAAAAATATCGAAGAAGCCTTTATTTCCTTTTGGCTACGAATTGGTTAGTCGCCAACAACTTCACTTCTTTTTAGCTACTAAATGTTTATTCATCAAAAACTTTCTTTACTTTTTTTATTTTTATTTTTATCTTTATACACACATATATATTTATTTCGCCACAACCTGTATTTATTTTGTGCAACCTGTACCTTGTATATAAAGAAAATAATAACAATCCAAGAAAATTTAACTTTTAGCATCAAATTCGAAATATAATAGAAATTCCATACGAATCAAGCATAATCCAACCTAAAATAATAATTCTATACAAAACAGAGGATTATACAAAAATCATGTGTCTACCGTACACAAAAACAAAAATAATATCCACAATACCATGTCAAATGATAATCTATACCATGCCAAAAGTAATATGTTCTATGCCAAAAGCAATTTGTACCATGCCAATAGTTATCTGTATGAATAATAGTAATCCAAAAAAAAAAAAAACGAGACAACATAATAACGGATTATAAAAAAAACAATGTCCTCCGTACAAAAAATAAGAATATCCACTTTTTTCAGCCAAAAACCATCTGTAAAAATAAAATTAACCATTAGTATTGATTGAATAACATCATCATTTCAAATTATAAAAGAAAATTATATAAAACTCGAATGTATTATCTTTTCAAATTGTATAATTATAGCCGTAATCATATGTTGCATGTCCAAACAAGTTTCTGCCAAGTTTTCCCTCCCGAAATGCAATTTTTCAGTTAAGTTTAAGGCAATTTTTGGCCACGGTTTAGTATTTGTTACAACTGATGAATCCTTTTGCGACGGATAATTTGTTTCTGTTGCTAATGATAACGCTTTTTTCTCATTTATCAGCAACGGTCATTTTCTGTCCCAACAAATACTATTAGCGATGAATTATTTTATCCATCTGAAATGTGTAGCTTTTGCGACGAAAATCAAGGCGTCGCAAAAAGTTATACTTGGTTTTACGACAATTTTTAAACCGTTGCAAAAAATTCCGTGTCTAAAGCTCCTTTTTCTAGTTGTGGTAATATTAAGATATTTTCTTCACTTAAAATATTATTCATGTGACAAATTTATTATAAAAAATAATAATTAA